GATCACCCATTTTTGCCTTCAAAAATCGATTTTTTGGTCGAAAACTTAAGGAAAACTAAAATCGCTTATAACTTCTTTAATACACGTTTAAATCGAAAACTAAGCTTATTTTGCGATCACCCATATTTCCCTTAAAAAATCTATTATTTGGTCGATAACTTAAGGAAAATTAAAATCGCTTATAACTTCGTTAATACACGTTTAAATCGAAAAATAAGCTTATTTTGCGATCACCCATATTTCCCTTAAAAAATCTATTATTTGGTCGATAACTTAAGGAAAACTTAAATCGTTTATAACTTCGTTAAAACACGTTTAAATCGAAAACTAAGTTTATTTTGTGATCGAATATTTCCCTTCAAAAATCGATTATTTGGTCGATAACATATGTAAAACTAAAATCGCTTATAACTTCGTTAAAACACGTTTAAATCGAAAACTAAGCTTATTTTGTGATCACCCATTTTTGCCTTCAAAAATCGATTTTTTGGTCGAAAATCTAAGGAAAACTAAAATCGCTTATTACTTCGTTAAAACACGTTTAAATGGAAAAATAAGCTTATTTTGTGATCACCCATTTTTGCCTTCAAAACTCGATTTTTTGGTCGAAAACCTAAAGAAAACTAAAATCGCTTATAACTTCGTTAAAACACGTTTAAATCGAAAACTAAGCTTATTTTGTAATCACCCATTTTTGCCTTCAAAAAACGATTTTTTGCTCGAAAACTTAAGGAAAACTAAAATCGCTTATAACTTTGTTAATACACGTTTAAATCGAAAACTATGCTTATTTTGCGATCACCCATATTTCCCTTAAAAAATCTATTATTTGGTCGATAACTTAAGGAAAACTAAAATCGCTTATAACTTCGTTAATACACGTTTAAATCGAAAAATAAGCTTATTTTGTGATCACCCATTTTTGCCTTCAAAAATCGATTTTTTGGTCGAAAACCTAAGGAAAATTAAAATAGCTTATAACTTCGTTAAAACACGTTTAAATCGAAAACTAAGCTTATTTTGTGATCACCCATATTTCCCTTCAGAAATCGATTTTTTGGTCGAAAACCTAAGGAAAACTAAAATCGCTTATAATTTCGTTAAAACACGTTTAAGTCGAAAAATAAGCTTATTTTGTGATCACCCATATTTCCCTTCAAAAATCGACTTCTTGGTCGAAAACCTAAGGAAAACTAAAATCGCTTATTACTTCGTTAAAACACGTTTAAATCGAAAAATAAGCTTATTTTGTGATCACCCATATTTCCCTTCAAAAATCGATATTTTTGGTCAAAAACCTAAGGAAAACTAAAATCGCATATAACTTCGTTAAAACACGTTTAAATCGAAAACTAAGCTTATTTTGTGATCACCCATATTTCCCTTCAAAAATCTATTATTTGGTCGATAACTTAAGGAAAACTAAAATCGCTTATAACTTCGTTAAAACACGTTTAAATCGAAAAATAAGCTTATTTTGTGATCACCCATTTTTGCCTTCAAAAATCGATTTTTTGGTCGAAAACCTAAGGAAAACTAAAATCGCTTATAACTTCGTTAAAACACGTTTAAATCGACAACGAAGCTTATTTTGTGATCACCCATATTTCCCTTCAAAAATCGATTATTTGGTCGATAACATACGTAAAACTAAAATCGCTTATAACTTCGTTAAAACACGTTTAAATCGAAAAATAAGCTTATTTTGCGATCACCCTTATTTCCCTTAAAAAATCTATTATTTGCTCGATAACTTAAGGAAAACTAAAATCGCTTATAACTTCGTTAAAACACGTTTAAATCGAAAACTAAGTTTATTTTGTGATCACCCATATTTCCCTTCAAAAATCGATTATTTGGTCGATAACATACGGAAAACTAAAATCGCTTATAACTTCGTTAAAACACGTTTAAATCGAGAACTAAGCTTATTTTGTGATCACCCATATTTCCCTTCAAAAATAGTTTTTTTTTGGTCGATATCTTAAGGAAAACTAAAATCGCTTATAACTTCGTTAAAACACGTTTAAATCGAAAAATAAGCTTATTTTGTGTTCACCCATATTTCCCTTCAAAAATCTGTTATTTGGTCGAAAACTTAAGGAAAACTAAAATCGCTTATAACTTCGTTAAAACACATATTTCCCTTCAAAAATCGACTTTTTGGTCGAAAATCTAAGGAAAACTAAAATCGCTTATAACTTCGTTAAAACACGTTTAAATCGAAAACTAAGCTTATTTTGTGATCACCCATATTTCCCTTCAAAAATCTATTATTTGGTCGATAACGTAAGGAAAACTAAAATCGCTTATAACTTCGTTAAAACACGTCGAAAAATAAGCATATTTTGTGATCACCCATATTTCCCTTCAAAAATCGATTTTTTGGTCAATGACTTAAGGAAAACTAATATCGCTTATAACTTCGTTAAAACACGTTTAAATCGAAAAATAAGCATATTTTGTGATCACCCACATTTTCCTTCAAAAATCGATTTTTTGGTCAATGACTTAAGGAAAACTAAAATCGCTTATAACTTCGTTAAAACACGTTTAAATCGAAAACTAAGGTTATTTTGTGATCACCCATATTTCCCTTGAAAACTCGATTTTTTGGTCGAAAACCTAAGGAAAACTAAAATCGCTTATAACTTCGTTAAAACACGTTTAAATCGAAAAGTAAGCATATTTTGTGATCACCCACATTTTCCTTCAAAAATCGATTTTTTGGTCAATGACTTAAGGAAAACTAAAATCGCTTATAACTTCGTTAAAACATGTTTAAATCGAAAACTAAGGTTATTTTGTGATCACCCATATTTCCCTTGAAAACTCGATTTTTTGGTCGAAAACCTAAGGAAAACTAAAATCGCTTATAACTTCGTTAATACACGTTTAAATCGAAAAATAAGCTTATTTTGTGATCACCCATATTTCCCTTCAAAACTCGATTTTTTGGTCGAAAACCTAAGGAAAACTAAAATCGCTTATAACTTCGTTAAAACACGTTTAAATCGAAAAATAAGCTTATTTTGTGATCACCCATATTTCGCTTCAAAAATCTATTATTTGGTCGATAACTTAAGGAAAACTAAAATCGCTTATAACTTCGTTAAAACACGTTTAAATCGAAAAATAAGCTTATTTTGTGATCACCCATATTTCCCTTCAAAAATCGATTTCGAAAACCTAAGAAAACTAAAATTGCTTATAACTTCGTTAAAACACGTCTAAATCGAAAAATAAGCTTATTTTGTGATCACCCATATTTCCCTTCAAAAATCGGTTTTTTGGTCGAAAACTTAAGGGAAACTAAAATCGTTTATAACTTCGTTAAAACACGTTTAAATCGAAAAATAAGCTTATTTTGTGATCACTCATATTTCCCTTCAAAAATCGAAACCCTAGAGAAAACTTTTAAAACGAAAATAGATTTTTTGGCCGAAAACCTAAGGAAAACTAAAATATTCATGTTTCAGTTCAATGAAGAAAATACTTTGATGATTATACTACTCATCACGCACTTTAAACAATTATAAATTATATTTGTCATTATTTACCAATTCACAGCTAACCAATTATAACTAGTTTGATTTCTTCAAAAACCCAATAATTGTGAGATGGAAAACTTTACTAGAACAAGTCATTTTGTTGATAGTTTAAATAAAAGTCTGCTCGTGTGTGAAGAATACTAAATGATTAACCGATTTGTCGATAAGAGACAAATCTGTATAAGTATTCATATATGTGTATATCGTCACCTAAAACGCAAACGGCCTTATCTAACATTTTTAAAATTTTACAGGAGAAGCAAAAAACTATTGAAATTGAAAAGTTTGTTTCTATCAACGCTACTTATTTGTAGTGAATAAACAAATTGTTTAATAGTGAAACCTATTATTTATTATGATAGTTGACATTGGCGTATATAAAAATGGATAAATTGGACTTTTTACCTTTAATATTTAAATGTTTTTGTAGATAGGGCCTTTTGTTTTTTGTCAATGAAATCGCTAATTTTGGTCGGAGGAGTCCAATATTTTGTGTGGACATATGTTTTGATGCAATACATTATAATCAACAATAAAATCGATTTTGAATTTTTGGTTAGTTAGGGCCGTTTGCGTTTTAGGTGACGATATGTATAAATGAAGGTGTGTTCATTTGAAGTCTTTTAGTGAAACCATAACACCTAGAGTCCACAAATTGTGGGAAACTGGTTATAGCAAGTCTTTATTAAAAACAAGAACTTTTTATTATGTTCTATTTAACAAAAGATTACATCAATTTTTCGATAACCTAGTAATTAACTTTCTAAAATCTGTTACTAACACTTACCCCTCAAAACAATTATAGTATATTTTATGGGAAATCCTAAATTTAACATTAGGAGTTCTATAATCGGCAGTGCCGAAAAGCTAATTTGAATACATTTCTTTTTGATGATATACATATCTTATATTTATGGAACGATTTTAGAAAGCATGATATAAAGATAGAACCCCAAAGATATTTGGGGCCCTAAGCAATTTGTTTACATATCTATTATAGGGGCTACATGAAGCTGTGGATCCATATTACCCACATTCAATTTCAAACAGTTCTGATCAATATAGAATATATTGGAAAAATTTCATCTTTCTAAATCCTTTTCTCTGGGCTCTATCATGCCTTCAACGAACATGTCTTGATCTTGTTGGAATTGTACAAGCAACCAGAATATTTATACTTTACGAGAGCTATTTTTATGTGTTACAAACGGAATGAAAAAATCAATATGCTCCTATCTCTTTCGATAGAGAGTATCAAAATAGTTAATATAAACATACTCTAGATAAGTAAAATAAAATTTGAACAGATTAGCACAAACTGACAAGAGGTGGACAACAATAAATCTATTTAAAAAGACCTACTTTAACAATATTCGACATCAGTTTAAATTAAAACATTATAAAGAAAGTTAGAAATTAAAGAAAATTTAATAATTTTTAAAATAATACGAAATGTATGACTATTTGTGTAAATACGATAAAGATCAAAAACTCTGGACCAGTGCTAAGAGACATGAATTCTACAATGAAAATGTCTCAGCCGGAGAATTAGCATTTCATAACATGCGCAATATAAATCCCTCGGAAGTCATGCAAATTAGCGATTCCGAGGGCACGATATTAACTTATGGCTCCGCTTTAACTTCGGCCATAAGAATAGCACAACATTTTGAGACGATCGGCTTAACAGAAGATGATATGGTGAGTATTTTTGCTCCCAATACAACATATGTTATGCCTGTGGCCTTGGCAGCTTGGTTCAATGGTACTGCTTTCCAGCCCATGAATACAGTAATGGAAACAAGTGGGTATTAAATGAACAGAAAGAGAAAGTTTTTACGATTTGGGACTTTATTTCTTTATTAGATGTTTGTGTGCAAATTTTCGATAAAATTAAACCCAAGATTATATTCTGTGATGGTTTACATTATGAAAAGTTGAAAAAGGCGGCGGTCGCTTTTAAACCAACTATTTATACAATCTGTAATCATTTGGATAATGTGCCACGAATCGAGGAACTGTTAGAGCCTACAAAAAGTGAACAATATTACAAGTGAGTATTAAAGGGAGGATTTAGATTACAAGTGAGTATTAAAGGGAGGATTTAGATTTAAAATGACAACGAAAGTGAAAGTGAGTTATTCTGACTAAGGAATATATTCCAAATTTAACTTTTGTATCTACAGACCCAAACCTTTAACACGAGGTCCCACTCAAACTATGGTTGTTATGCATTCATCCGGCACGACAGGCTTACCCAAGGGAATATGTGTATCAAATCGTTATGTTCTAGCAGATTTTACGTAAGTTTACACTTTCAAACGCTTTAAAGCTAATCCACAGCTCAATTTTAACATACCACTTCATTAAAATCTTACAGTGTAACCTATCAATATGATACAATATTCTCCACCAGCAGCGTAGATTGGTTAAGTGGTCTAATGACTCTCTGTGTCAATGTTTTGATAGGGGGCTTAAGAGTCATTACTAGCAAACCCTATTCAGCGGAATATTTACATGAAATTATTACCAAATACAAAATTAGTGTCTTGATCACCAATCCCTCGGTCATGTTGGAATTAACTTCATTGCCCTGCTACTCCAAGGAAACCATGAAGAGTGTGCGTACTTTAATTTTGGGAGGCTCTTCGTGTCCAGAAAAGACTCAAAATCTTATACGTTCCACTTTAATAAATGGTCAATTGTATTGTGGTTATGGCAGCACTGAAATGGGCGTTATTACGCTTAATAATAGCAATTATAAATCAAAATCGGTGGGTCAAATTTTACCCAATTTTGAAATGAAAATTGTGGATACCAGCACAGGCGAACGTTTGGGTCCTAATGAAAAAGGTGAGGTCTGTCTGCGTAAAACTAATGATGAATGGCTGGGATATTATAATAATCCTGAGGCAAATAAATCTGCAATAGATAGCGAAGGCTTTCTTCGCACTGGCGACTTGGGTTATGTGGATGATGAACATTATTTGTTTATAGTGGATCGTTGTCGTGATGTTATGAAATATTGGGGCTATAAATGGTCACCCCATGAAATAGAGGTATTGGTCGCCGAAATGCCCGAAGTTAAGGAAGTTTGTGCTTTTGGTGTTTACGATGATGTCAAATTATATGTACCTGCTGCAGCAGTGGTAGTAAAACCGGGCTGCTCTCTAACGGCACAAGATGTGGTGGAATTTATGAAACGTCGCAGTGAAGTCCATTATAAACATTTAGATGCTGGTGCTTTTATTTTGAAGGAATTACCACGTAACAGAAATGGTAAAGTTGTAAGAGAGAAAGTCTTGGAAATGTGTTTGGCAATGAAGAAGGAAGAAAATGAACATGTGGATAGATAAAGCCAATTGAATAGATATAACTTAGTTTTTATTATATTATAGAATTTTTAAACTAAATTTTAAACTAATTTAAGATTAATTTTAAATAAAATATATTTAAGAAGAAAGTTAGTTTAGAGACGATCTTTAATCCACTACTTTGTAGTCGAGCTGATAAATTAGTCTTTAGTCGAAATCATTTACTGATTACTAGTCCCTAGTGAATTAATCATTATTCAAGATCATGAACTATTCTCTGGTTGAGATCACGAAAATATGTATGTTTAAAGAGTAAGTTAATGTAGTGATGATCATTAACTATTCATTAGTCATGATCACGAATTCCTCTCTAACCTAGATCGTGTATCTCAGCACTACTCTGTAGTCGAGTTGATTAACTCATTCCGATTGCTCAATCGAAATCATGAACGACTTACTAGTGAAGATCGTACACTACTCACTAGTGAACAGCTCATTATTCATGATCATATACTACTCTCTGGTTGAAATCACAAACTAATCTTTACTTGAGATTATAGACTACTCTCTAGTGGAGATTATGGAAATATGTATGTTAGTAGAGTCTTTAGTTGAAATCATGAACTTACTCACTAGTTAAGATCTTATACGTCTTACAAGTAAACTGATCGTTATTCAAGATTACTCTCTAGTCAAGATCATAAACTTCTGTTTAGTCAAGATTGTCGATATTATGGTCCACCATCCATTATTCGAAATCAGGTACTACTCTCTAGTCGAGATCATAATTTATTCTCTCTATACCTAAGTCGTGATTATGAATTCCTTTCTATACGAGATCATAGTCCTAACTACTCTTTAGTCAAGATCATGAACTATTCTCTAACCTAGATCATGTTCTGCACTACATAAAGGTGATAAACTATTCCTTAGATGATATCATGAACTCATCAATATCAAGGTCCACTATTAAATCGTGATAAGGAACTACTTTTTAGTCGAAACATGTACTACTTAGTCAAGATCACAATCTTTGCCCTCTAGTCCAGATCATTGACTTCTCTTTAGTCGAGATCTAGTCATTAACTACTAATTTAACGCGATCACCAACTACTGTCTAATCGTTAGCATGGACTAGTCGTGGAGATTTTAAGTTGAGGTCATGATCTATTTACTAGTTGTGATCATGAACGATTCACGAGAGATCATAAAGTACTATATTTTAACATAAAAAACTACTGTCCAGATCATGAACTTCTCAATAATAATGATCATGAACTACCAAATATTTTCTAGTAGAGATCGTGAACGACATTTAAGTCGTGATTAAGATTTACTTTCTAGACGAGATCCCCTTCTTCTTCCTCTAGGTTGTTTGATTATTCTTATTTACAATTGTTGCTAAAAACCCAATAATCTTGAGGTGGAATTTTCATCAACTTAATATAGTTTAATAATGTTAAATTCTCTAAAAATAGACATTTTGTTGATAGGTGGTTTAAAAAAAAAATAAGACTTCACGTGTCCGTATAATAATAGAAGATTATACGATTTGTTTAGCATAACATCCGATAAAAGATATGAATTTTATGATAAACAAGTAATTAAATTTCTAAAATCAGACACTAACACTTACCTCCCAAAAACAATTTATCTCTGTAGTTTAGACGAAACTTAAATTTAACAAGTAAAAAATCTTCTAAATAATCTTCATTATGATATATAGGAATAAAAACATTATTCTTTTTAAAATTTATTGAAAAACATTTACAATTTCTATTCATAAATGATTGAGATATGAGCGTAATAAGAGAAAACAACTCATATCTTCAACTTTTTTTTAAATATATCTCGAACAGTTAGTTGTGTTCGAGATATATACAAAAGTATCTGAGAAATCATGAACTTTTAGGAAATTTTTATAACATTTTCTATATTTTGAAAGTATTTTTCGTAATAAAAAGATTTCTAATTCATGTCTGATAGAATGATATAAGACTTGGATCCCGAATATATCTGGATATTACCGAAACTTGTTTTAAACAAACATATGGACAGACGGTTATATGAAAAATCGAGAGTTTTTCAGGGATTTTGATCATATTTACGATATTTATAGACATATTTTGCAAAATTCTTGAAAATATCCGGGGGCATTTAGAAAATAACAGGCCCCCGATAATGAATTGTCAGTTTTCGCGCAACAAATTATTTTAAACGGCAGAATATCTAACGGTTAAACGATAAACGCCAGATGAGATAATGGACCTTAAGCAGTTTGTTGATGCCAAAAATAGTTAATTTAAATATCTCTAGAAAAATAAAATTAAATTTGAACAGATTAGCAGCAACAGACAAGAGATGGTAAACAATAAAACTAACTATTTAAATAGGCCTACTTTAGCAATTTTAGACATTAGTTGAAGAAGTTGAAAAAGATCGAAAGCCTTGGAATTAGTATCAAAATGCATGACTATTTGTGTAACTACGATAAGGAGAAAAAACTCTGGACCAGTGCTAAAAGACATGGGTACTACAATGAAAATGTATCGGCCGGCCAATTGGCATTTAATCGCATGCGTAATACAAATCCTTCAGAAGTCATGCAAATTAGTGATTCCGAAGGCACCGTATTAACTTATGGTTCCGCTTTAACTTCAGCCATACGAATAGCACAACATTTTGAGAAGATGGGTTTAACAGAAGATGATGTAGTGAGTATTATTGCTCCCAATACAACATATGTTATGCCCGTGGCATTGGCTGCTCTTTTTAATGGTACTCCTTTCCAACCCATGAATACAGTTATGGAATTAAGTGAGTTAGTAAATAGGTTTTGAAAGAATAAAGCCAGGTTTTATTTCGATTTATTTCTTTAGATGTTTGTATGCAAATTTTCGATAAAATTAAACCCAAGATTATATTCTGCGATGGTTTACATTATGAAAAGTTGAAAAAGGCGGCGGTCGCTTTTAAACCAGCTATTTATACACTTTGTAATCATTTGGATAATGTGCCAAGGATCGAGGAGCTATTAGAGCCTACAAAAAGTGAACAAAATTACAAGTGAGTAATAAAGACTTCAAAGATTTTGTCCCATTAAACAGCTTGAGTTAAAATAATTTGCATTAAATTGACATTCAACTTTTCTAACTACAGGCCTAAACCTTTATCTCGAGGTCCCACTCAAACTATGGTTATTATGCTTTCCTCAGGCACTACCGGCTTACCCAAAGGAATATGTTTATCTAATCGTTATGTTCTATCAGATTTTGCGTAAGTTTTGTGATTTAAGCAAAACTGCGATCCATTTTAAACTACCCCATTTAATATATTCCTACAGTTTAACTTATCAATATGATACGATATTCTCGACCAGCAGCATAGATTGGCTGACAGGTCTGGTGACTTTCCTAACTAATATTTTGATAGGAGGAGTAAGAATTATTACCAGCAAACCCTATTCTGCAGAATATTTACATGAAATTATTACCAAATACAAAATTACAGTACTCATCACCAATCCCTCTGCCATGCTGGAGTTAACTTCATTACCCATCTTTTCCAAGGAAACACTAAAAAGTATGCGCATGTTAATTATGGGTGGCTCCTCATGTCCCGAAAAAACATTAAAGCTTATACGCTCCAGCTTAACAAATGGTAAATTGTATTTCGCTTATGGCAGTTCTGAATTGGGTGTTGTTACTTATAATAATCGTGATTATAAATTGAAATCGGTGGGTCAAATTATACCCAATTTTGAAATGAAAATTGTAGATACTAGCACAGGCGAACGTTTGGGTCCCAATGAAAAAGGAGAGGTGTGTTTGCGCAAAACTAATGATCAATGGTTGGGTTATTATAAAAATCCCGAGGCCAATAAATCCACCATAGATGCTGAGGGTTTTGTTCGTACCGGCGATTTAGGTTATGTGGATGATGAACATTATTTGTTTATAGTGGATCGTTGTCGTGATGTTATGAAATATTGGGGCTATAAATGGTCACCTCACGAAATTGAGGTATTGGTTGCTGAAATGCCCGAAGTTAAGGAAGTTTGTGCTTTTGGTGTTTACGATGATGTTAAACTATATGTACCTGCTGCAGCAGTGGTTGTAAAACCGGGCAGTTCTTTAACGTCAAAAGATGTGGTGGAGTTTATGGAACGTCGCAGTGAAGTCCATTATAAACATTTAGATGCTGGTGCTTTTATTTTGGATGAATTGCCACGCAATAGAAATGGCAAAGTTGTGAGAGAGAAAGTTCGGGAAATGTGTTTGGCTATGCACAAGGAGGAAAGTGAAGAAGTGGATAGATAAGGAGTTGATTTCTATTATTTAATTCATTACATTTTTTGAACTTTTGTTGAAGTTAACTTTTGTTTGTTTTTCCTTAATAAAATATATTAAAAGAAAAAGTTGTTTAAATAATCCTTGAGTCCTTGAATTCCTTTTTATAAAATCTCTTCTGTCTTATCTACAGATTGAACATTTTGGTGCAAAATACCAAACAAGCGTTTGGAACCAATGTTTAAGCAGATTTTCTCAATATCAGAATATTGAGATGAAGATTACATCATTGCTGAGCTTTATATTAAATGGATACATTTCTGATTTCTTCGTCAAAATCGATTCCATTGAAAGTAATAGATCATTCTCATAGTTCTTTGATATTTTAGTTATTGGAGAAAACTATTGAGGTGTTATTAACTATTTTAAAGAACTTTGGACATTGTTTATAATTGTGGGAGTGAAATCTAGTTCCTTTTGATAATTCATAGATCATTTACGCTTTATTTTGAGTTTCGACTTTGAGCCTTTTCAGGGATTCAGGAATTCATTAAAAAAGTTTGTTCGTTTTCCTTTTCTATTAAGGATTATTAAAGAACAAGAAACTCTTTAATTCCTATTCAAGTATCGAGTGAGTAAATCTCTTTTGGAGTAAATCTCACCACGCTATAAGCGTATAGCCGTTCGAACACTTCGTAGAGCAAAAAGGACCTTTATTGTGTTGTGAGAATCGCATTTAAAGGTTTATTTGACGATAATTTATATCCGTAACATCTATCAAAATGTCTGGGGTAAATCCCCCAAATTGTTACTGATTCGAAAGTAAGAATTGTATTTCGTAAGCTATAGAAATAAAAAAGGAATTTACAACTTTCTGTTCTAGCACATTTTATTTAAAAAGAAAAAACAAATGTTAACTTAAAATTATTAAAATTCCATTTTTAAAATTCTATAAAACAATAAAAAAAATAAGTTAAATCCTTTTAACTTCTTATCTATCCACTTGTTCACTCTCTTCCTTTTTCATAGCCAAACATATTTCCAAAACTTTATCTCTCATAACTTTGCCATTTCTATTACGTGGCAATTCCTTCAAAATAAAAGCACCAGCATTTAAATGTTTATAATGAACTTCACTGCGACGCTCCATAAACTTCACCACATCTTGTGCTGTCAAAGAACAGCCCGGTTTTACCACCACTGCTGCAGCAGGTACATACAAGTTAACACTATCGTAAACACCAAAAGCACAAACTTCCTTAACTTCGGGCATTTCAGCAACCAATACTTCAATTTCATGAGGTGACCATTTATAGCCCCAATATTTCATAACATCACGACAACGATCCAGCAAAAACAAATAGTGTTCATCATCCACATAACCCAAGTCGCCAGTGCGTACAAATCCCTCAGCATCTATGGTGGATTTATTGGCTTCAGGATTTTTATAATAACCCAACCATTGATCATTAGTTTTGCGCAAACACACCTCTCCTTTTTCATTGGGACCCAAACGCTCGCCTGTGGTAGTATCCATAATTTTCATTTGTAAATTGGGTACAAGTTGACCCACCGATTTTAATTTGTAATCACGATTGTTGAAAGCAATAGCGCCAATTTCAGTACTGCCATAACCGAAATGCAATTTACCATTTGTTAAACTGCTGCGTATAACCTTTAGAGTATTTTCGGGACATGAGGAGCCACCCATAATTAGCATGCGTATACTTTCCATAGATTTCTTGGAGAAAATGGGTAATGAGGTCAACTCCAACATGGCGGAGGGATTAGTGACTAAAACACTAATTTTGTATTTGGTAATAATTTCATGCAAATATTCCGCGGAATAGGGTTTACTAGTTATAACTCTTACTCCTCCTACCAAAACATTAGTCAAGAGAGTTACCAGACCTGTCAACCAATCTATGCTGCTGGTGGAGAAAATTGTATCATATTGATAGGTGAAACTGTAAAAATATAATAGAATTAGGTTTTAAAATTAGTTTCCGTTTAAGCTATAAAGTGTGTTAAATCGAGAACTTACGCCATATCTGAAATGACATAACGATTTGATAGACATATTCCTTTGGGTAAGCCGGTGGTGCCCGATGAAAGCAATAATTGACCATAGTTTTGAGTGGGACCTTTAGTCAAAGGTTTGGGCCGTTATTATAAAAAATTATTGTACATTAGAACTGAAGTAAAGAACTGAACTATAACTGAAGTAGAACTGAACTAGAACTGAACTAGAATTTAACTAGAACTGAACTAGAACTGAACTAGAACTAACGAACTAGAATTTAACTAGAATGAACTAGAACTAGAACTCAGAACTTAACTAGAACTGAACTATGAACTGAGAACTGAACTAGAACTCTGAAACTGAACTAGAACTGAACTAGAACTGAACTAGAAACTGAACTACTAGAACTGAACATAGAACTGAACTAGAACTGAACTAGAACTGAACTAGAACTCTGAACTAACTAACTGAATACTGAACTAGAACTGAACTAGAACTGAACTAGAACTGAACTAGAACTGAACTAGAACTGAACTAGAACTGAACTAGAACTGAACTAGAACTGAACTAGAACTGAACTAGAACTGAACTAGAACTGAACTAGAACTGAACTAGAACTGAACTAGAACTGAACTAGAACTGAACTAGAACTGAACTAGAACTGAACTAGAACTGAACTAGAACTGAACTAGAACTGAACTAGAACTGAACTAGAACTGAACTAGAACTGAACTAGAACTGAACTAGAACTGAACTAGAACTGTACTAGAACTGAACTAGAACTGAACTAGAACTGAACTAGAACTGAACTAGAACTGAACTAGAACTGAACTAGAACTGAACTAGAACTGAACTAGAACTGAACTAGAACTGAACTAGAACTGAACTAGAACTGAACTAGAACTGAACTAGAACTGAACTAGAACTGAACTAGAACTGAACTAGAACTGAACTAGAACTGAACTAGAACTGAACTGAACTAGAACTGAACTAGAACTGAACTAGAACTGAACTAGAACTGAACTAGAACTGAACTAGAACTGAACTAGAACTGAACTAGAACTGAACTAGAACTGAACTAGAACTGAACTAGAACTGAACTAGAACTGAACTAGAACTGAACTAGAACTGAACTAGAACTGAACTAGAACTGAACTAGAACTGAACTAAAACTGAACTGGAACTGAACTGGAACTGAACTAGTTCTGGTGTTAGGACAAGATCGATTGCGAAATTTCTCCTTTTTCAATACTCACTTAAAATGCTGTTCACTCTTCGTGGGCTCTAATAGTTCCTCGATTCTAGGCACATTTTCCACATGATTACAAATTGTATAAATAGCTGGTTTAAAAGCGGCTGAAGCTTTTTTCAACTTTTCATAATGTAAACCATCACAGAATATAATCTTGGGTTTAATTTTTTCGAAAATTTGTATACAAACATCTAAAAAATTGAGGAAAAAGGAAATTATAACTTTTGTTCTTTACCAAATCCAATTTAAATACTTACTTGTTTCCATTACAGTGTTCATGGGCTGGAAAGGAGTGCCATTGAACCAGGCAGCCAATGCCACAGGCATAACATATGTGGTATTGGGAGCAAAAATACTCACAATATCATCTTCCGTTAAACCAATCGTCTCAAAATGTTGAGCAATCCTTATAGCTGTAGTTAGGGCGGAGCCATAAGTCATAACAGTGCCATCGCAGTCTGAAATTTGCATAACTTCCGAGGGATTTGTATTGCGCATAACAAAATATGCCAATTCTCCGGCCGAAACATTTTCATTGTAGAATTCATGCCTCTTGGCACTGGTCCAGACTTTTTGTTCTTTATCGTATTGGCACAAGTAGTCATACATTTTGAAATTATTTAAAAGGAGTTAATTAGCTAGAATTTCTAATGATCTAAACAGTGTATAAATTTGAACTGATGTCTAAATTAGCTGAAGAAGGCCTTTTTAAATAGTTAGCTTTGCTTGTGCTAATCTGTACAAATTTTATTTTAATTATCTAGAGATATTCAAATTAACCGTTTTTTGGTAGCAACAAACAACAACTCATAACAAATTTCTTTTTATTGGCTTCTATGTATTAGATCCAGTCATTCCTCTCTGATTTATGGAAATTTTTGAGGATTGTTGTTAAAATTTAAGTTTCTGCTCCATAAAAAAACAAAAAAATTACAATGAACAATGATAAATTGTTTGGGGGGTAAGTGTTAGTACATGTTTTTAGAAAGTTTATTACTTAAATGTTATAAAATTTTTATAATGTTTTAATGCATTAGAATGTTTTATTTTATTATAAACATTTGTCTTTTATCGAATGTTGGGGCAGACAGGTGTGTAAATTAAATTGTCTTAGGCAGACAGGAGGCTTATTTTTTTTTTTTAATCATCTTTCAATAAAAATATTTTGTAGTGAATTTAAAATGATAAGGCAAATTTTATAAACTATTTAAATGTCAACATTTCTACTGTCAGATTATTGAATTATAGAAGGAATCTAAATTAACAAAAATTATAATAACTTAGGTTAACAAGTTTTAACTCAGATCAATTACAACTTTTCCATCATATCAGGTTTTCGAGATATCGAAGTTTAGCACAGTTCAGTCCTTTAGTAAAGTGTTTTTAACTCTGGCTACTCGACTCTTTTGAAATTTTGTTAGCCGGTGTAATTAAGAAATTTTATGATATTGTTTTTACGAGTAAATCTTTATTTAAACCTTTGTTAGTGGTGATTATAAAATAATAATAAAAGGCTTATAGCAATAATTGCAAATATGAACGAAATCTTATAATAAAAAATGAATTACAATCTTAGGTTCCTTACATAGAATGTGAACTAGTTCAGAACTGGTATATGAATTCCCAAATAACTGATCAGAATCATTGAAATTGCCAAACCGATCCACCCATAATTAGCATGCGACCATCTATGGTAGAAGAATTGGAGATCAGAACGTGGATAGAATATGCTTATAACTCTATTTGTACCTAATACCTTCTAGTAAAACCCTATTTAATTGAGAAAACTTACAAAATTGTAAACTCCCTTTTCGTTATATTAATCTATCGAGTGCTCGAGATCCCTAAGACAATAGTTATGAGTCAAATCAACGCGGACAAATTCCGATCACAACCAGACATGTGAACGACTAAGCCCATGCCCTATGTCTTAATGTACCCTCATCTTAAGAGGATATGAAGTTTAACGATCAAAAAAGATCCACCGACTTAGTATAAAGCGGCAAATATCTAATAAGTCGCAAATGTCCGACAGTAAGCGATCAGCAAGTTTAACATCAGCACCTGAACTAAATACATGTCAACACGACTAAAGACGTGCCCTTCTATGTCAGCATTGGATCATTAACGATCACCAACTCACAGATTCTTGATGTACACCCATCCTTATCTGGAGAGACGACATTAAAATAAAAGAGGATTACTCATGATCAATACTTTACGACTGTTAAAGGTTCTGCAACTGAACCTGATGTAAAGCACCAAAGGTAAACGATTGAAGCAACTGCTTGTCACTAGAACCTAATGCACCGTAGTTAACCTAAGAGTAAAAATACTTCGGACAAATGACAGTTTTTGAAGAAAGAGGTCGTGTGGACGCTAGTTCAATGATAATAGTTATTATATGGCGTCTACACTCGAGCAGAGGTCTTATCCAATGCAAGCATATACTTCTGGGATCATTGTCAGATCTCACTCTGAAGGAAGAGATCGTGCGGACGCTAATTGAATTATAATATTACCATTCGATGGCGTCAAATTAATAAAAATCATTGAATGTACAAACGAAAAGATTCTAGTCTTTATTAAAAACTTCTCTGGAGCAGTTGCAGAAGTCTTATCCAATGCAAACATAGACTTCTGGGATCATTGCCGGATCTCACTCTGAATTCACATGCCTAGAACATCAGGATCTGCGAAGTTCTTAATAGACTCTCTCTCTCTCTTTTTGGATTAATTATTTGTTCGTTTAAGTTGCGCTTCTCTTTTTCTTACTCTCTCTCTCTTTCTTTTGATATAAAACACTGCGATATTAGTTGAACGGTCTTTAATATTTACTCTACTCAAGAACTCGTTTTGAGATTATCCCAACAATTTGTATAAAACGATCCCTTAGGAGGATTAATATAACTCAAGAGCAGTTTCAACGTAATTAGTTTTAATAAATTTCTTTACTTTCACCCAAAAGGGAGAAGGGAACCACGCCATCCAATGCAAGGTCGTCATTATAAGTATTAGCAACTTTCCAACATGAAGGAAATTTGCGGGCAATTTAAACAAATATTGAGATCATAAGCTAATCCATCCAAGTTTGTAGAAGAAAGGTAAAGAGAAAAAGAGAGAGAGAGAGCGGTATAAACTTGCACGATCCCCGAAATTCAGTGCCTTTGCACTTAAAAAGCAAGCTTGGAGCTAAATAAAATTTCCTTAGCATATATATGTATATTGCTGATGTTTCCCGATTAAGAACATTGATAAAATTAAGGATCTTAAAACCCCAAACCCAAAAACTAGAAAATTCCATTATTTTCTATTGACACACGAATTCAAATCACTAACAAATACATTCTAGGGAATTTTTTTAAAGAATCACTTTAAACGTGGAAAATAAGTTTTGTGATAACTATAATTTTTAATAATAAAATAATATGTGGCGTTACTAACCAAGTACAATAAAACTTTTACTTTTGAAAAATTTCAAATCGCAAACATCTGTTTCTACTAGGGGTACCCCAGATTTCTTATCTTTATAGCGAATTTGTTTTTATTTTTCTCAAATTATCTCGAAGTATATGCCTTACTTTTGATAAATTTGTTGTTTTTTCTTTTGAGCTTCGTCATTTTAATGAAATTTTTCTAATTGTCTATATAAAGATTTTTGGGGGTGTTGGCGAAATGGAGGGTGGGGCTTTGACAATTAAGAATAATCATAAATCATAATTACATTTTATTGTTTTAGTAATAATTTTAATTATGTACTTGTTTTCTTACAAAAAATTCTATAAAAAGTTAATAAAAAACACTGTTAAAAAAATATGTCAATAGGTTCCGAAAATCTGGAACAAAGAAACGTAGTTTACTTTTCATTTCCCTCCTTCTCCAGAGCCAAACATATTTCCTTAATTTTATTTCTCATTAATTTACCATTATGATTCCGGGGTAATTCCTTGACAAAGAACACACCATAATGTATTTGTTTGTGTGGCACCTCCGATTTATTGCGAACATATTCCATTACCTCATCAGCAGTCAAAGAACTGCCTTCACGTTTGACAACCGCTGCTGCCGGAACATCATAGGACAATTCATCGAATACCCCAAAAACACAAACATCTATAATATCGGGAATTTGCACGATAATATCCTCGATTTCTTGAGGAGTATAATGATAACCCTTGTATTTCATAACATCTTTACTACGACCCGTTATGAACAGATAATGCTCATCATCCATATAACCCAAATCGCCAGTGTGTATGAAATTTTCCGAATCCAACATTTGTTCAGTGGCCTCCGGATTTTTATAGTAACCCAACCAACGACTGCCATGACTGACACATATCTCTCCTATTTGTGTGGGTCCCAAACGTTCGCCCGTAACGGGATCTACAATTTTTACCTTAACATTGTGAACAATTTGACCCACAGAATGACATTTATAATCGGCCAAATTGGCAGCAATACCTCCAAATTCTGTGCTACCATAACCATAAATTAAAATGCCCATAGTTAAGGCCGAACGTATACGTTTTTGATTGGCTTCCGAACAAAATGCTCCCGACATAAAAATCAAACGTACACTTTGCATGGTCTTTGGTGAGTAATTGGGTAATAGACTTAATTGCACCAGATTACCGGGTATTGAAGCTAGAAAATTGACTTTATATTTGACTATCAAATCTAGTAAATATTCGGGTGTTAAGGGTTTAGTGGTTAAAAGTCTTCTACCACCCACTAAAACATTAGCAATTAAGGTAAAAAGGCCGGAGGACCAATCCAGGGTGCTGGCGGTAAATAAGGTAGAAGAGCCATTGGAGAAACTAGAAAAAAGAAAGATGAATAAGGAGACGATATAAGAAATATATTTCTCGATATCTTACCCAAAATCTATGGTACAGGCTCTATTAGAAACACATACCGCTTTAGGCAGACCACTGGTGCCAGAGGAAACCAATATGGCCATAGTTTGCGAAGGACCATAGGTTAAAGGTTGGGCCCTATTCAAAAATACACCAAAAAATATAGTTAAACATGTAAATATATTCAAATACCACTTACAAATAAAAATGTTCCGAAACTGTAGGCTCCAAAAGATCCTCCACTTTTGGCACATTATCTAAATGATTACACAAAGTATATATCAAGGGTTTAAAAGATTCCGAAGCAGTTTTCACCTTTTCATAATACTGGCCATCACAGAATATTACCTTGGGCTGGACCAAGCTATAAATATGTTTGACCACACCTACAGAAAATAAATTACCCACAACATGAAAATTTCCTTAAATATTCCCACAATAACTCACTTGTTTCCAATAGACAATTTGTGGCCTGAAAGGGGGTGCCATTAAACCAGGCAGCCACTGCGACCGGTGTCATATACATAGTATTGGGTGTAAAAATACCCACTACATCATCGGCTGTTAACTGCATTTTCTTGAAATGCTGAGCAACACGTATGGCCGCGGCTAAAGCCTCGCCATAGGTCATAGTCCTACCGTCAGGATCAGAAATTTGCATTATATCGGCGGGATTTTTGCCACGCAACATATAAAGAGCCACTTCTCCCACCGACATGTCATCACTGAAGAGCCTTTTCTTTTCAGGTCCACTCCAGATTTTCTCTTCAGGATCATAGGAGGTTTTGAGGGAAATCATAGTTCTTTTCAATTAATTTCTTCCGAGTTCGTTTGTTGAAGTTTTCTATGCAAAATTTTTAGTGGAACTATTGTTATATTCCAGTATTTTCGTAAAAGTGTCTAATCTAATCGATTATTTTAGCAAATTGATTATAGTTTTAGGTTGCAATCTTATCGAATTGTAGTGCTAAACAATGAGTTGCAGGTAATTTATTGAGAGCTATATAAATAGGGGGAACAAATCTGGTCATTGGACTTAAATTCTTGTATTAGGAAAAAAATAGGGATGTTTTTTAGAAATTATAAAAAAATTTCATAAAATTTTCTTTTATAGAAAAATTCACAGACTAGATTATAGAATATACTATAAACTAGAATATAGAATAGACTATAAAGTAGACTATATACTAGACTATAGACTAGACTATAGACTAGACTATAGACTAGACTATAGACTAGACTATAGACTAGACTATAGACTAGACTATAGACTAGACTATAGACTAGACTATAGACTAGACTATAGACTAGACTATAGACTAGACTATAGACTAGACTATAGACTAGACTATAGACTAGACTATAGACTAGACTATAGACTAGACTATAGACTAGACTATAGACTAGACTATAGACTAGACTATAGACTAGACATAGACTAGACTAGACTAGACTATAGACTAGACTACTAGACTAGACTAGACTATAGACTAGACTATAGACTAGACTATAGACTAGACTATAGACTAGACTATAGACTAGACTATAGACTAGACTATAGACTAGACTATAGACTAGACTATAGACTAGACTATAGACTAGACTATAGACTAGACTATAGACTAGACTATAGACTAGACTATAGACTAGACTATAGACTAGACTATAGACTAGACTATAGACTAGACTATAGACTAGACTATAGACTAGACTATAGACTAGACTATAGACTAGACTATAGACTAGACTATAGACTAGACTATAGACTAGACTATAGACTAGACTATAGACTAGACTATAGACTAGACTATAGACTAGACTATAGACTAGACTATAGACTAGACTATAGACTAGACTATAGACTAGACTATAGACTAGACTATAGACTAGACTATAGACTAGACTATAGACTAGACTATAGACTAGACTATAGGCTAGACTATAGACTAGACTATAGACTAGACTATAGACTAGACTATAGACTAGACTATAGACTAGACTATAGACTAGACTATAGACTAGACTATAGACTAGACTATAGACTAGACTATAGACTAGACTATAGACTAGACTATAGACTAGACTATAGACTAGACTATAGACTAGACTATAGACTAGACTATAGACTAGACTATAGACTAGACTATAGACTAGACTATAGACTAGACTATAGACTAGACTATAGACTAGACTATAGACTAGACTATAGACTAGACTATAGACTAGACTATAGACTAGACTATAGACTAGACTATAGACTAGACTATAGACTAGACTATAGACTAGACTATAGACTAGACTATAGACTAGACTATAGACTAGACTATAGACTAGACTATAGACTAGACTATAGACTAGACTATAGACTAGACTATAGACTAGACTATAGACTAGACTATAGACTAGACTATAGACTAGACTATAGACTAGACTATAGACTAGACTATAGACTAGACTATAGACTAGACTATAGACTAGACTATAGACTAGACTATAGACTAGACTATAGACTAGACTATAGACTAGACTATAGACTAGACTATAGACTAGACTATAGACTAGACTATAGACTAGACTATAGACTAGACTATAGACTAGACTATAGACTAGACTATAGACTAGACTATAGACTAGACTATAGACTAGACTATAGACTAGACTATAGACTAGACTATAGACTAGACTATAGACTAGACTATAGACTAGACTATAGACTAGACTATAGACTAGACTATAGACTAGACTATAGACTAGACTATAGACTAGACTATACACTAGACTATAGACTAGACTATAGACTAGACTATAGACTAGACTATAGACTAGACTATAGACTAGACTATAGACTAGACTATAGACTAGACTATAGACTAGACTATAGACTAGACTATAGACTAGACTATAGACTAGACTATAGACTAGACTATAGACTAGACTATAGACTAGACTATAGACTAGACTATAGACTAGACTATAGACTAGACTATAGACTAGACTATAGACTAGACTATAGACTAGACTATATAGACTAGACTATAGACTAGACTATAGACTAGACTATAGACTAGACTATAGACTAGACTATAGACTAGACTATAGACTAGACTATAGACTAGACTATAGACTAGACTATAGACTAGACTATAGACTAGACTATAGACTAGACTATAGACTAGACTATAGACTAGACTATAGACTAGACTATAGACTAGACTATAGACTAGACTAGACTAGACTATAGACTAGACTATAGACTAGACTATAGACTAGACTATAGACTAGACTATAGACTAGACTATAGACTAGACTATAGACTAGACTATAGACTAGACTATAGACTAGACTAGACTAGACTATAGACTATAGTCTAGTCTATAGACTAGAGTCTAGAGTATACTATAGACCAGACTATAGACTAGACTATAGACTAGACTATAGACCAGGCTATAGACTATCTTTCTTTTCTTTCTATAGAAAACAGTACCCTAGGTCAGGTTTATTTTAAAAAGTTGTTGTTTTGCTCTATATCTGGACAAACAAGATGCTATTTTTGAATTGTTTCTTTGTTCATTTAAAGATAAGTTTGTTGTTATTCTTTATTTAGTACCTACGATAATTCAAATGAAAATGATACAACAAAAAAAAAAAAAAATGGAAATCTTCTCAAGGTGCCTAATGATCAAGCAGTTTTAGCCTCTTTAATGGAATTTTTTTCGGCGTTTGCTGAAGTTTCCCCCAAAAATAATAATAATGAATTGCAAAAAAATTACAATTATCGTTTATCCGTCATATTCTTAACTTTATGACCATGACAAAAAGGAAAAAAACTAAAATTTAAAACGATTTTTTGTTAAAATTAAGAAAATTGTTTTGTGATTTTAGAGCATTTTTTTGATAATAATTACCCACTACTTCAGAAATTAAAGATAAGAAAATGAACGTTAAATAAATAATGCATACTTTTAGGCCTTCAATAAAACAGCAAATATAAACTCGAATACTTCTTGGCATTTAAAATTTTATCGCGATCGGGGCAGACATTTAAAAATGCCAGATCTATTTCGATGCCATTATTTAAGGAATACGATATCGTTCAGATATCCGTCGTAGGAGGGTAAAAATACTAGGAATTTTTTCTCCGATAGTGATCCGTAGATCCCTTAACATTGTTGACATAGATCTAAGCGTCTATTGTTATATTTTTAACATAAACCGAACGGAAAAGGTTTAATACAGTTAAAATGTTGGAACCTGTTGGAACCAAAATATCGCCCATTTGTTTGTAATCGAAAAATTCAATAATTACTGCACCAAACAGGACAGAACTTTAAATATACATATATTCCAGGTGTTGTGAGCAGTGTTGCTGTTCTGACAGATGAGGTCTTAGTTTGAAATTTTTATCAAATACACCTAATGTTTTGAATCGATTATTTTCAAGTTTGAAAGGTATTTCGATCTTTACGGACTGAGTTAAGCAAGTTTTTAACTTCATGGTAAGATACTTTATTTGTTTTGTTGGTAATCGTTGACTCTTATCTATATATACTACGTCATCTATTGGAGGGGTATGTGGGTTAAGTGATAAGAATTTTATTATCAATTTCAGCACTTTGGATGTCTGAAATGTTAATACCTCAATATATGTTCAGTTAGCATAGTCATAATTAATCAGAAAAATCAATAAAATATAGAAAAATTTAAGATCTTATTATAGCTCTTTAAAACTATTTTTGCTTTATAAAAAATTGATTTTATTTTATACAGATTTTACATTTCAATTTGTTGCTTTTATTGGTTTTCACAATAACATCTACTTTCCCTTACCCTCCTTCTCCAGGGCCAAACATATATCTTTAATTTTATTTCTTAACAATTTGCCATTATGATTACGGGGTAATTCCTTGACAAAGAACACACCATAATGTATTTGTTTGTGTGGCACCTCCGATTTATTGCGTACATATTCCATTATCTCTTCCGCAGTCAAAGAACTGCCTTCACACTTGACTACCGCTGCTGCCGGAACATCATATTTCAATTCATCGAATACACCAAATACACACGCATCTATAACATCGGGAATTTCTAAAATAAAATCCTCAATTACTTGAGGAGAATATTGAAAACCCTTAAATTTCATAATATCTTTACAGCGACCGGTTAAAAACAAATAATGCTCATCATCCATATAACCCAAATCGCCGGTATGAATAAAATCTTCCGAATCAATCATGTTCTCTGAGGCCTCAGGATTTTTATAATAACCCAACCAACGACTACCATGACTGGCACATATTTCACCAATTTGATTGGGACCCAAACGTTCCCCTGTCGCACGATCTATAATCTTCACCTTAACATTGTGTATAACTTTACCTACCGATTTAGCTTTATAATCGGCTAAATTACCCACAATACCACCAAATTCAGTGCTGCCATAGACATACACCAAAACACCCATGCTTAAGGCAGAACGTATACGTTTCAGAGTAGCTTCCGAACAAAAAGCGCCAGTCATAAAAATCAAACGTATACTTTGCATGGTCTGGGGCGAGTAATTGGGTAAAAGGCTTAATTGCAGCATTATTTCTGGGTTGGTGGCCAAAAAGTTGATTTTATATTTAACAATAAGTTCGAGTAAATACTCGGGGGTTAAAGTTTTAGTGGTTAAAATTCTTCTGCCACCCACTAGAACATTGGCAATAAAGGTAAATAGACCGGTGGACCAATCTATGGTACTGGTGGAAAATATGGTAGATGAACCATTGGAGAAACTAAGGAGAAAGGGAAATTATTAGTAGGGATTTATATTTAACAAAGAAACTTCTTACCCAAAATCCGCTACACAGGTTTTATTAGAAACACACACACCTTTTGGTAAACCAGTGGTACCAGACGAAACCATAATGGCCATAGTTTGGGAGGGACCATAAGTCAAAGGTTGGGCCCTATTCAAAAATAAACAAAGGAAATTTAACAAACATTTTCTTTAACAAGATCAAATCCTACTTACAAATAAAAATGTTCCGAAACGGTGGGCTCTAATAGATCCTCCACTTTAGGCACATTATCCAAATGATTACACAAAGTATATATCAAGGGCTTAAAAGATTCCGAAGCTGTTTTCACCTTTTCGTAAAACTGGCCATCGCAAAATATTACCTTGGGCCGGATAAACCCATAAATGTGTTCAATCACACTTGTTTCAAAAGTATAATTTGTGGCCTGAAAAGGAGTGCCATTAAACCAAGCGGCCAGGGCTACTGGAGTCACATAAAGAGTATTGGGAGCAAATATGCCCACCACATCATCAGCAGTCAATTGCATTTTCTTAAAATGTTGAGCTATACGTATGGCCGAAGTTAAAGCCTCACCATAGGTCATGCTGGAACCTTCAGTATCAGATATCTGCATAATATCCTCAGGATTTTTACCACGCATTATATACAGAGCCACTTCTCCCACCGACATTTCATCATTGAATAGTCTTTTCTTTTCCGGACCCCTCCATTCCTTTTCCACGGGATCGTAAGTGGTTTTCATTTCCATCATTCTAGATTTCAGGTCCATTTTAGCGTTATTAACTAAGTGCGTTCTAAGCGAAAATGTTTGCCCAACTATAGTTACTTTTCGAGATCTCATAACTTTTTGTAGACTTTTTATAATCTAATCGAAATATATTTTTTTATCAAAATTTCAACAAAATACTATAATACTACAATGAGTTGCAATATAGTGAGACTTACCATATAAAATCTCTATGTCCATTGGACTCATTTTCTAATCATTTTCCTGGAAATATAAAGATGTTCGATTTTCATAGAAAAAAAACTTTTAAATGTTCTTTGAACATTTAATAATTGATAAATCAATTAATTTAATCGTGTTTGTACAAAGTAATTGTCTGATATTCTTAGAAAATAATAATTTGCTAAAATTTATCAACATTTTTTATAAAAATTAAATTTAAAAAAAATTTTTGGATAAAAAGAAAAATGGTTTTTAAATAAATAAATTCAAAAAAGAAAAAACTTATTATTTATCGTTTATTTCGTTTAAATCATGACACATTTTTTATTTTTCTTTGGATCGAAGGACCATTTTCTAAAATTTCCATTTAATAACTGCCAGGATAAAAGAATTCCAAAAATCTGTAGTTCTCTCCTAGTTTTAAAATTAAAACAAATTAGTTTTTTTCACTTTTTTCACCCTTTTCTAAAGTTCCCTTTTTAATAACTTGAACAACCAATTTTAACTTAAACCAAACACTTTTTTCATTACAATTTGTTTTTAATGTTTTTTTTTTTGGCTCGTAGGACCATTTTCTAAAGTTCCCTTCTTATAATGAGAACAATAAACTCTAACAATTCCAAAATTCCATGAGTCCTCTTCTTGTTTTTAAATTAAAACCAATTACTTTTCTTTTATTAACAATTTTTATTTAGTTTTTTTTTTTGGCTCGTAGGACCATTTTCTAAAGTTCCCTTCTAATAATTAGAACAATAAACTCTAACAATTCCAAAAGTCCATAAGTTCTCTCATAGTTTTTAAATCAGAACTATTAAATTTCTGACTTTACTTTTCTTTCATTACAATTGATTATTTTTCTTTAGCTCGAAGGACCATTTTCTAAAATTCCTTTTTAATAACTAAAGGGATAACTCTAACAATTCCAAAAACCTATAGATCTCTCCTAATTTTTAAATTAAATTCTAATACTTTTTTTCATTACAATTTTTTATCCATTTTCTTAGGCTCGTAGGACCATTTTCTAAAATTACCTTTTAATAATTGGAACAACAAACTCCAACAATTCCCAAAGTCCATAAGTTCCTTCTTAGTTTTAAATTTAAACCAATTACATACTTCTTTTTCAATACAAAAGAGAAACAATTGAACATTTATTTAACTTTCAATCACTAACTGTAGTATTTTTTTCATAACTTCACAAATTGTGGACTACTTTTAGGCTTAATAATAAAAAAAATCAAACGAAAAAAACTCCTCTGCAACTAAAGTTAAATTTCATACTTAAACTATGCTAAAACTACAATTGCATTGCAATACTATAGACAAGAGAGAACAAAAGAATTTCAAAACTAAAAAATAACTGAAATAATTCTAAGAAGAAAAAAAGAAGAAAAATTCAATTCTAATCTTATACAAAAACTATTCAAATAGTTTAAGGTAACAATACGACAATTTGTGTACAGTAAAATGTTGGAGAAAATTGAGATGTAAATTGAAAGAAATCCACTTGCTAAGCATTTACAGTTTTATTGGCTATAATTGTGCGTTGCATGAAGCTAATATTTCTACTACAATTTCTTGAAGAACAAAATAGAAAATGAAAAGAAAGTTAGAAGGAGGGAGGGTGCTAAATGCAGAACAGGAAAATTGCCTTAAGTGTAAATATCCTTACTATTATATTGCAGTCAAGCGTAAAATTATATTCTTCAGTTGCATTTAATTGCTAAGCATTGAAACTTAAACAAAAGTTAGAGAATTTTTTTAAATTGAAGGGTAGTAGAATGGTATGAAATTTATTTCTTAACATATGTTTTATATATTTAGTCTATAGTCTAGTCTATAGTCTAGTCTATAGTCTAGTTAGTCTAGTCTATAGTCTAGTCTATAGTCTCGTCTATGCCTAGTCTTAGTCTAGTCTATAGTCTAGTCTATAGTCTAGTATAGTCTAGTCTATAGTCTAGTCTATAGTCTAGTCTATAGTCTAGTCTATAGTCTAGTCTATAGCTAGTCTATAGTCTAGTCTAGTCTAGTCTAGTCTAGTCTAGTCTAGTCTAGTCTATAGTCTAGTCTATTAGTCTTAGTCTATAGTCTAGTCTATAGTCTAGTCTATAGTCTAGTCTAATGTCTAGTCTATAGGTCTAGTCTATAGTCTAGTCTATAGTCTAGTACTCCTAGTCTAGTCTATAGTTCTAGTCTAAGTTAGCTAGCTAGTCTATAGGTCTAGTCTATAGTCGAGTCTATAGTCTAGTCTACTAGTCTGTCTACTAGTCTAGTCTATAGGTCTAGTCTATAGTCTAGTCGGTAGTCTAGTCTATAGTCTAAGTCATAGAGTCTAGTCTATAGTCTAGTCTATAGTCTAGGTCTATAGTCCTAGTCTATAGTCTAGTCCTATAGTCAGTATAGTCTAGTCTATAGTCTAGTCTATAGTCTAGTCTATAGTCTAGTCTATAGTCTAGTCTATAGTCTAGTCTATAGTCTAGTCTATAGTCTAGTCTATAGTCTAGTCTATAGTCTAGTCTATAGTCTAGTCTATAGTCTAGTCTATAGTCTAGTCTATAGTCTAGTCTATAGTCTAGTCTATAGTCTAGTCTATAGTCTAGTCTATAGTCTAGTCTATGTCTAGTCTATAGTCTAGTCTATAGTCTAGTCTATAGTCTAGTCTATAGTCTAGTCTATAGTCTAGTCTATAGTCTAGTCTATAGTCTAGTCTATAGTCTAGTCTATAGTCTAGTCTATAGTCTAGTCTATAGTCTAGTCTATAGTCTAGTCTATAGTCTAGTCTATAGTCTAGTCTATAGTCTAGTCTATAGTCTAGTCTATAGTCTAGTCTATAGTCTAGTCTATAGTCTAGTCTATAGTCTAGTCTATAGTCTAGTCTATAGTCTAGTCTATAGTCTAGTCTATAGTCTAGTCTATAGTCTAGTCTATAGTCTAGTCTATAGTCTAGTCTATAGTCTAGTCTATAGTCTAGTCTATAGTCTAGTCTATCTAGTCTAGTTAGTCTATAGTCTAGTCTATAGTCTAGTCTATAGTCTAGTCTATAGTCTAGTCTATAGTCTAGTCTATAGTCTAGTCTATAGTCTAGTCTATAGTCTAGTCTATAGTCTAGTCTATAGTCTAGTCTATAGTCTAGTCTATAGTCTAGTCTATAGTCTAGTCTATAGTCTAGTCTATAGTCTAGTCTATAGTCTAGTCTATAGTCTAGTCTATAGTCTAGTCTATAGTCTAGTCTATAGTCTAGTCTATAGTCTAGTCTATAGTCTAGTCTATAGTCTAGTCTATAGTCTAGTCTATAGTCTAGTCTATAGTCTAGTCTATAGTCTAGTCTATAGTCTAGTCTATAGTCTAGTCTATAGTCTAGTCTATAGTCTAGTCTATAGTCTAGTCTATAGTCTAGTCTATAGTCTAGTCTATAGTCTAGTCTATAGTCTAGTCTATAGTCTATAGTCTAGTCTATAGTCTAGTCTATAGTCTAGTCTATAGTCTAGTCTATAGTCTAGTCTATAGTCTAGTCTATAGTCTAGTCTATAGTCTAGTCTATAGTCTAGTCTATAGTCTAGTCTATAGTCTAGTCTATAGTCTAGTCTATAGTCTAGTCTATAGTCTAGTCTATAGTCTAGTCTATAGTCTAGTCTATAGTCTAGTCTATAGTCTAGTCTATAGTCTAGTCTATAGTCTAGTCTATAGTCTAGTCTATAGTCTAGTCTATAGTCTAGTCTATAGTCTAGTCTATAGTCTAGTCTATAGTCTAGTCTATAGTCTAGTCCATAGTCTAGTCTATAGTCTAGTCTATAGTCTAGTCTATAGTCTAGTCTATAGTCTAGTTTATAGATCATGCTCCTTAAACAGATAGAGTATGTTTTGCTTTAAGTCCTTAAATAAAAAACATTCTACATACAATTCATGAATTACAAATGAGTTTGTTTCAATAACGACACTCAGCTTCTTCTCTCCACAACCTTATCCAGTGAAATTGTCTTAATTTAACTTTAAATATGGAGTTATTTTATATTTTTTTACATATTTAAAAAAAAATACAAAATTGTAAAAACACTTGCTTTAAGCTACTCTGGTGTAGTAGTAGACAGTTGATAACGTGGCTGAAAATAAAAAAAAAAAAATAAAATGTAAATTTTGTGCGAAAATTAAGTAAAAAACAGAATAAACTAAATGCAAATGAGTCTAAACCGGAAATGACACTTGTATTTTGTTCCGTGATTGCATTTCCACCAAAAACCAACAAAATAAGTTGTGTGCCAAAAAAAATGTCGTCCAATTTTCGTGAAGATAATTTTGTTGTAATCATAAAAAATGGCAATTGGCCAATAAAAATGTGTTAAACACAAAGAAATGTTTGTCAAATAACAAGTGTTTACTTTGAAAAGAATGGCAAACTTAGTTCATTCTGTTGCTAACCGACAAACGTTCTATAAACTTTTCGAAATAAGAACAAAAGTTATTTATAATTTATTTAAAATTTGTGAGGCTGGCCACCCTATAGCTCGGCCTTAATATGCAAATATTTCTTTTGTAAAGCAACAATAAAAAATCGTTAGCAGCTCATTTTATTTTAAAGTCAAATGTTTTTTCTTCACTACTTTATTGTTATTTTTATATTTTCATTTCCTTTTGCCACATTTTTCCACAATCGTTCTTCTTTAGTTCTATAATATAGCGCACTACAACTCCTAAAATCGGCTTAAAATATAACATCGTTTTGTTTAGTTTTTTTTTTTCGTTTTAGTTCCTTTTTCTTTATTGCTTGGCAAACGGGCGAAACTGTTTTCTTCAACAATATTTGAGTTTGTATTGCCGACATCATATCTTCCTTTTGAAACCAATAAAAGAGGATAACCGTATTCAAAACAGCAATTCCCCTTTCTCTTCATCCCTC